CCCTGCCTGCCTAGCAGCCCTTCAAGGTAGACCAGACTAGGAAACCAGCATCATGCGTGCTAATGCTACATTTTTATAAGGTTGCGGCATCAGAATCTTGCAAGCCTGAAGGTGCTTCCCCCCACCTCCCTCTTACCTGCATGAGAACCACAGAGAGTCAAGGGAGGCTCACTGGCTTTCTCGGATTATGCTTCTAGTTAAGGCTCTGTTATCCGACTATTGTGTTGCTGGCCTCCCTTCCTCCTGTCCCTCATTGCCTTCAACAGGGCCTAGCCAGAATCCACAAGTGGTGCTACCCAATACAACCGACAAGGTAACACCACCACAATCTGCTCAGCAGCTTCTTCTTCAGCCTTTTCAAGATGAACGATTATCTTCTCCAGGCCAAGCAAGCAGCAGCTAATTTTAAAAGGTTTCACATTTTCAAAACATCCTTTTAAGAGCCCCTATCTTCTTAGTGTAAAGATGGGGGGGAGGTGTTAAGTTAAGCACTACCAGTCACTTTTCACCCTCTGACCATCGGCAACAAGCAGCTGCCAAAACCTTGATAAGCATTTCAAAGTCCAAGCCAACTTTTAAATCGTTCTCCCGTGAGTGACTCCCCTGACCAAAACAAGCATCTTTAGAGAATGTCGGCATATAGAAAACCGTGGCAAGGGCCACTTTCAAATCTGAGCACCTGACCTAAGATACCAATCAAGGTTTCGTCTTTTCCAGGTGCGCCAGAAAAGGCTTCAAGGTCCCGTCTCACTGCCAGGCCAGGATCTCTTCAATCTCAATCTAATCATACTGGAACAAGACTGAAATGGGGAAAATCTCCCCGTTTGAAGATTAGTAAATACAGAGAAGCGCCCGGAGCAATTGCCTGGATTATCCACAAAGCCTGCTTAGAGATTTGGCTTTGCGAGCATGACACTCCGATTCAGCATCTGTTTGGCGTTGTTTACACTTCTAAGGGCAAAGCCTTCCCGGGAGTTCCACAAACTGAGCTGCTGGAAGAACCCCCCCCCCCCCAGAAAGCCACCACTCAGCAAGCACCGCCTGTCACCCCCACACGCAGGAAGGCCGTGCAACACAAACCCCCACAGTCCCACAGCAGGCTCCCCCCTCCAGGAAGTTTCAGCCGCTGCCAGCAAAGGGCAGGCAAGGGTCTGGCTCTGCAGCAGAGTTGCCCGTTTGGGCACTGCCATCCTGCTGGGGGAGGCTGGCGAAGGAGCCGCCACAGCTGGGCAGAGCAGAAAGGCTGAGCCAGAGTGCCTGTAGAGCAGCTCAGCTGCACGAGGGTCTGTGCGTGTTGCGGGCAAGAGAGGGGGCCACCCAGCAAGCTCAGGCCTCTGGAGACTGGCACCATCACTCCTCTGAGGTGCTTGGAGGTTCGGCTTTGCCTCTGCTCCCCAGTGATCCCAGCAGAGCCACGGCTTCTCCTCCAACTCCGGTTGGGCATCGCCCCGCATGACCTCGGACCCCAACTCACTCCAAGACTTACCGATCTTCTGGTTGAAGACCTTGTCAAAGGTCAGCTCTCCCCTCTCCTCCAAATACTTCTGCATGACACTGCGGATGCTGAAAGGCAGAAAGAAGGAAAGGATTACTCCCGGCTGTCTCTGGAAGGAGTAAAGGCGGACTCAGGGGTTGTGCGAGGGGAACACTGCACGGCTAACAGGGCCACAAGACCCCCGCAGCCCCCTCCCCGAGTCCCTCATTAAGCCATCCCTAGTCACTTTGTGTGGTTGCAGGGGTGTCTGCAAAGGATCCTCTCCTGTCCTAATCCAATCAAGAGAACAACATTCGAGACATACCGAAAAATTACAAAGCCTAAAAATGATGCTGCAGAACAGGCAACCTAGCCGGAAGACAGGCAGGCTCCCTTCTTCTGCCTGTCCTGAAGTCTCTTCCCACCTGCTGGAGCTGCACTCGTCGATCAGAGTTCGATCTCGTGTTCGCCAGCCTCACAATCGCGGGAGCAAGAGGCACCTAAACCAGGGTTTCTCCACTGGTGCCAGGGCTGAGCAGCCACGGTCCAAACTCTTAGGGTGAGCAAAGCATCTCCGCCCTCCCTGCACTCCAGCGCTAAACCACCACTTCCCTCTCCAGGCCGCCATGGGTGCCAGGGCAAAGAAGACATCCGTGGGAACAGGAGATCGCAAGGGGCATCCCAGCTCCAGGAGGCAGAGCTCAGCCAGCTCAATGGGCCACATCTCGGCTAGTGTAAAAGACACCCGAGACACAGGGGCCTTTCCTGAAGTGCGGTTTGCCCTTCTGTAGGGCTACTCCTCACCCCAGCCCCAGCTGGCCTGGGAGGCTTTCCCCAGGGAAGGAAGGGCCTTCCACAGCCTCCTCAAGGGACGTCCGTTCCCATAGCCTCCTAAAGGCCGGTCCTCATTCGGAGTGGCGGCAGAGGAACAGCAGCTAAAGGCACGAGCAAATGTGGGCCAGGGATTTTAGGAAGCCGGGGAGGGAGACCATTTTTCTCCTTTGAATTAGATTCTGGGTGAGCTCTGCTGCTCAAACACAAACACCATCAGCTACACCCTGAGAGGAAGAGGGCTGCTTTCACTCATGGCCCACCCCTTGCTTAGCTTGCAAGGCTAAATGAATGCTTTCTTCTAAGCCTCCCTTGCATCAGGCAGGAGGAGGAAACAAAGACAATTAAGGCTGCATCCTCCCTCATTAAGCCTGCAAGAGCCAAGCAGAAGTGCCTTGTGCCCCCCAGACGTGCCCCAGGGGAGCCCTAAGTGGGCGCCTGACTCCACTCTTCCCTGGGCTGCACCAGGCCATCCAGAGGCACCCCCCTCACCCCCCTCCCAGTCACCTCTCAGAGAGTGCAAAGAAGCAAATTTACAGCAGACATTTCAGCCAAACCCATCCTGACTCCCAATTCTTAAGCAGATGAAGGGCTCCTTCTCAGCACCCACTCTTGGGGCCTCCCCACCAGCAAGCAGGTGCTGTCACAGACAAGCTGAACCTCCCCCCACTCCCATCAAGGAATGCCCACTGCTCCTACCGTTGGTCTCGCTGGCCAAATGACAGCTAGTCTGCCATACCTTTGAATGTTCATTTAATAGACATTATTTTTAAAAGCCACAGAAGAACTCCTGTTCTGCTGATTGGCAAGAAAAAAAAGCAACCCAGCGCTCTTGCTGCAGAAAATATAAATAATACAGATGGGACATTTTGTCTGAGTGGAGTTTTGAAAACCCCTCAACCTCCTTCTTTCATTTCTTGATGAGAGTCAACTATGAGACATTCAGCTGCGCCTCTTAACCTCTGCAACTTTAAGCTGTGCGGACTTCACTCCCAGAATCCCCCAGTCTTTGCCTCTGCTGCTCCTGGAGGGATTCTCCGGAGCCACAGAGCCCACTTCCGTCGCAGAGACTGGCTTGAGGAAAGGGCCCTCCAAGGCTCATCCCACAGTTCGGCCATTCGGATTTCTTTGGGAGAGGAAACTGGTCCACCGCAGTGAACAAAGCCAAGACACTCAGCCGGGGCTCCGGCAGGGAGCCTGGTTGCCGGATGTCAGGCCAGGTTTAGCAAACAGCCACCAAATTTACAACAATCTGGCTAAGAATGCAGGATGGATCTCTTAGCTGGGAATCCAGAGACAGGACCCTTCCCCTGAGGACGACCCCAACTCTAGAACTGGGGCGGGGGCAGTGGTAAAAAGAGAGCCCCAAAGGTCAGAGCCCCACGTACCACCCAAGGACCTCTTGTTGGGTTTCAGCTTCACAGGTTGGGTTTGAAGCCAGCCTTTACCGCTGATGAGCCATAAATTATGGCTTAGCGTGAGGGATCAACCCCGCCAACAGGTCTTGGGGCAAGAGGTCGGCTCCACCGCCAGCACTTGGCAGGGGCCATCCGGGGATCCAGAGAGGCCTCCAAAGGAGTTCCAAGTCAGGGAGAAGACCACCATGAATTAGGGGGTCACTCCACTGTTTCCACATTCCCCAGAGTAGGAAAAGTCGGCCAGGGGTCAAGTTTAGCCCCCCCAAATGAAACGATACCTCCACATCCACCCTGACACACGCAAAGGGACAGCGGGAGATTGAAAGCAGCAGACTGCTCAGGCCAATTTTGGGGAGGGGGGTGCAGTGCCACCTGGAGACCTGGCACATGCCCCCCACGGGAGCCCCCTTGATTCTAGCCCCTTTTGGGCACAATGCTCAAGGACAGATGCTCCCAGGGTGAGGGGGGGAAGTTCCATATGGGAGGGGGGTGGAGACTGCAGTTCAACAAGCCTGGCAGAGCCTGGGGGGGCTCTTTGGGAGGGCCTTTTTGCTCCTCATGGGGGGGTGAATGAAGGGTGCCTGGAGGGGGGGAGGGATGCTCCGACTTGGGGAAGGGGCTGCCAGCCCTCCCCTCCCCCTCCGCCTCCCCTCCCCTCCCCGCCGGCACCAGAGGGAAAGATGGCGGAAGCTGGGGGGAGAGGGTCGGGCCCCGCCGGTCTGGCCGCGCCGCCTCACCTGGGCTCCGGCAGGGCGAGCTTCTTGCTGGCGCGGGCCGCGGGGGAGCTGCGGCTCTTCTCCATGGCCATGAGGTAGCTGACGTCCGCCAACACCGCCTCCAGGTCTGCCATCTTGGCGGGGCCCGCGGGCCCAGGGGCCACCCAACGCCGCCCGGCTACCCGCCGCGCCGCCCCGCGCCCTTCCCGGCCCGCCCCATCGCCCGCCGCCGCCGCCGCCGCCGCCGCTCAGGAGGGCGCCCCGCCGAGCGCAGCCGGCACCGGGCTAGGCGGCGGGGCTGCGGAGGGCTGCGCCCCGCCGTCCCGGCATCGTCCTCGGCGCAACGGCCCGGCGCGGCGGCTCCTCGCGCGACTGCACGCCGGCGGCTCGCGACCTGCTCGCCCGACCGCTCGGGAAGGAGGCGGCGGCGGCGGCGGCGTCCTTGGAGCTGCGGCGCTGGGCTGCGTCTCCGCGGCGGGCGGGCGGGCGAGGCGGAGCGCGGGGGGGGCTGGCGGGGAGGGAGCCCCGGGGTGGCTGCGGGAGGGGCGGGGCGGAGCGGAGGATCCCAGGCGGCCCCTTTCAGCCCCGGGCGCGAGGCGCACCTGAGCGAGCCTTCGCCGACCTGCCCGGCCTCCTCCGTTGCCCGAACCCGCTGAGCGGCTGCTTTGGCTCGCTTGCCCCCCAAGCCCTCTAAAGAGGCCCGCTGCTCTCGGGGACGGGCAGATGTCGGCAGATGTGCGTGTTCCAAGCCGTTGGAGCCCGGAAGCCGCCTTTCAGGGGGCGACAAGCAGCATCCCTGAGGTAATGGAAGGAACCAAATGGGGTATTGGTCACATGGTTGGTTGGCGCATTGAATAAAATATCATTGAGAAGGAATAAAAGAATGCCGTGGACCCCAGTCAGGCGAGTGATTTTCCTTGTTTCCCGTTTCAAGTAAGTGAATTTGAAAATAATTGAATAAAACAATGAGCCCAATTCTAATTGCATTCATTTTATTGTGCGGAAGAAAGAATTGCCTCATGTTTCCAACAGCTGGAGGGCATTTCAGGCTCAGGCTGAAGGTCCTGCCATAGCAGCGTCCCTGGCTCCCTCTTTTGAAGTCTTAAGTATCAGATAATTGGGGGGGGGAATTTAACTTCGCTAGGGTCATTACTGTGATGATTACCTGCAAAGGCTTTCAATAAATTGCAATAAACCCTGGCTTGTCGCTCCCAGCACAGAGAAGCCAGCTGGCGGCTGAGGGCCCCGTCTGCAGCTCCCCTTTGGAGAGGGGCCTCCTCACAAGCAGCACTGGGGACTCTGCCCATCAAAGACCCCATCCGACTCGGCCAAATATTTCAGATTTTTCATTGTGCGTTTGCAGGTGGGCCTATCACAATCTTTGCATCTCCTGATCAACAAGTGTTTTTAAGAAAAATATGCCAAGTGATTGTCCTTTACAGAAACATGTTTTGCTATGAGAAAAGCCTCCCTAACCAATCTGATTTGCAAACCCTCCACAGGACTCTCCAATTAGGAATGGAAAAGGCCACAAACAGCCGGCCATTAGCAGCAGCAGCAGCACCACCACCACCACTCTAATAGCCTGGCTCTGCAGATTTTCTTTCCCCTAAAAGTAAGTAATGAGCCAGAAGGAGACTGCTGGGAAGAGACCGGAAGGGACACAGGACGGAGGGCATCTGGGCCGCTTATAGATCCCTTGGGAGTTGAGGGTTTCCTTCACGTAGAGAGCCAGTTTCCCTGCAGACCCAAAGGCTTTCTTTCTGGGACAGCCGAAGGCCTCCAGAGGCTCCTGTTCTGGCGTTACAAAACCCAGCAGATCCCTTCCTGTGGAGACAAGGCTGGGGGGCATGGCCACCTCTTGCAGCTGTCTTCATTCTCCCTCCTCCTCCCAATTCTCTGCCGGGGCCTCTCGGGTGTAGCCTGGCAAAGATTGCCAGATGCTTCCAGCACTCCGAGGGTTCTCCTGGGATTCAGAAAAGGTCTCCTGCCAAGGCCACCATCGGGAGGGGAAAAACTCCAGCCACGGTGCTCAAACTGCCAGGCTCTCTTGCCTGCCCACGTGGGCACTCAGGCAGCTGCAGTGCTCCCTCCCCCCATCCTCCCTGGGGGAAATTATAGGGGACCTGAGGCTCTTTCACCACCTCTCCCCACCCAGGACTGTTCAATTACAGGCTTTGGGTGCACTGGAACCAAAGGGAAAAAGGATGCCAGATGTTCTTCAGATGTCACGCTCACACACCGGCACCATCGAAACGGCTTCTTTGGGGCCTCCAGGGAGGGAGACAAACCAGGGTCTAGTGAGACGGGAGCCTTCCCTGGTTCCTACCGAGCCTCCTCCAGCAACCGGGGCCTCCGAACTGAAGCCACCCTGAAGGACCCAGAACTGCCCTAATCTTCGTATCATCTGAAGGTCACAACTGCTGAGAATCCATCCCTCCCTCCCAGTGATGACCTTTCTCCAGCTGGAGGCCACCAAGAGGAACAGGCACTTTCCCCGTTTTATTTCCCCAGAGCGATGACACCCCCACCACCTCCGCAACCCTCCTGCAATCGGGGTCCCAAATGTGCCAAAGCACAGAGAACATAAAAGGCTGGAAAGCCAAAGGGTGTGTGTGAGGCCTCGGCCCCCCACTCCCTTCTCTCCCCACCCCAGACTGAAAACTCCAGCAACGATGCCAAAAGCAACTCTGCTCCATCGTCCCCAACCTTCCCTCCATCCATTGTGCAGAATTTAAAAAACGGATCTAGATATTTTGCAGAGTGACCCGATGCCTGGCTCCTGCGCTCACATTTTTTCTGCCATATTTGGACAGGGGGCAAACTGCTCTGAGCCATTCATTCCCCTTCCAGGGACTCTCGTCTGCTGGTACCACTTAATCCCATCAGGTCCCACATGGCTGGGCAGTGAGGAGGAGGGGGGGAGAGGCTTGCCAATGGCCAGCTGAGTCAGCCTTTTTCTCTCACTGCTTCCTGCGCAGCCCAAGGCAGCCACCCCAAAGATTTGCCCCACTCAATGCCCAACCTACCAATGGCATGGAAGGGAGGGGGAGGGAATCTGGGCTGCTTTGTCGCTCTGTGTGTGTGAGGCAAGCAAGGCCTGTGAGGCTCCCTGGAGTCTGCCTGGCCTGGTGGTCTCCTTTTCCCCTTCAAAGCTCCAGAGGCCCTTGGAGTGGCTGGGAAGGCCAGTCTGGGTCAAGGCAGATGGAGTGGCTGCACCCGGAATGCCAGGCGCCTTCAGAGCTGCCCAGAGACCAGCCTCTTCCCTGAGACCCCTCCCCCCCATTTCAAAGGGGATGAGAAAGGGGGAGGACTGCAGGCTGGCACCTCCAAACCAAGGGCAGCCTATGCTGACCTGGCTGGAGCCTCATTGGGGAAGGGGGGTCCTGGGCTCAGCTCCTCTGTGCAGGCCTCTTGGAGGGATGCTGTTGGGCCAGCAGGGACCCCGAGGGTGGGGAGGCCCCTTTTTCTGCCACACCAGGAGAAACGGAAGCCGAGGACTGGGAAGAGCGTTTCAGATGACAAAAGCTTTATTCAGGGTTGGAAGCAGAAGCAGAGGCAGCGAGTGGAGAGGGGGCCCGGCCGGGCGGCGGAGGAAGACCGAGAGGCAGAGGGGGGCACTCCGAGGCCCTCCCGGGGCTTAGCTGGTGCGGTAGAAGGCGCCCTGCTGGTGCCACTGCATGTCTCGGATGCGCCGGACCGACTGGATGTGAGGCTGCTGGGCTCCGAACTCGAGGTTGTCCTTGTAGTCGCCCTTCTCAAACAGGCACTGGTACCCGCGGTAGCCAGGGTACTGGTAGCCCACCCACCTGTGGGAGGAGGGCAGAGTCAGGCGGAGCTCAATCCTCCACTCATGCAAGAATGCCCTGAGAATCAGCGCCCCAAGCCTGGAGCCCTCTCTCCGGCTCGCTGGTCCCTTCCTGAAGCCCAAGGCAGCTCCCTGAGGGAGGGTCCCGCTGCCCACCCAGAGACTTACGTGCCGCTCTGCACTCGCACAGAGGACACCTTCTCCTGGTAGCCGTAGGCATGGAAGCTGGGCACATCATCATCCACAATTTCGATCTTCTTGCCGCTGAAGCTGGGATTCTCGTACAGGACAATCTTGTGCTCCTGGCTATCCTGCAGGGACGCAGGGGAGGAGGGGAGCGGAGGGAGGGCCCCAGCCGAGTGGGGTGGGGGTCTTGGCTGAGCTCCCCAGGCCCAAACCTGAAGTGCTCCCCAGTTCAGGCTCTCTCTGTAACCCACCCGGACCAAGCGGCAGGGTGGGGTATGTGTGTCTCTGGGCACCTTCTCCCTCCTCCCGCTGCTGCTCCCAGCTTTCTTGAGGCTGCCACTACCCTCCTCTGGTGGCTCTGCCTGGCTGCCACTGCGATCCCGCCCCATGGCAGAAAACCGTTGCAAGAAGCTTGGGGGGGGGGAGGCTGGCTGCCAGGCCAAGGGCTACTCCCTCCCCCCTGCCTTTGGGCACTCACCACTTTGATGGGCCTCAAGGCGCAGATGCTGTCACTCCTGCGGCTGCTGGTCCAGGAGTCCCAGCGGGGATACTCCCCCTTCTCAAAGATGAACTGCTCCCCTTTGAAGTGGGCCTGCTCATATCCCACCCACCTGGGAGCAAAGAGAGACCACGGTGAGCCCCCGGCTGGAAGTCTCCCCCCAAGGAACCCCACTAGAGCTTCAGGGCTGCCCAGATAACAGAGTTGCCCTCCCACTCAAACACTTGGGGGTCTGGGGTGAGAGAGGAAAACCGACCCACGGGTGCACCAGCCTGTCATGGCCACACCAGCCCCACGGGCTCAGTGTGGCCAATGGCCTCCCTGCCCCCGAGCCCCCTTCCCTGGCACTTACGGGCCAGAATGCACCACGATGGAGCTGACTTTCTCTATCCCGGCCTCCTTCAAGTTGGGGCAGGGGGTGTTCAGCTCCTGGCAGCGTCCCTGGAAGTTCTCCTGCTCAAAGAGGGCGATCTGGAAGCATGGGAAGAGAGCCTGTCAGAGCCTTGGGGGGCCCTGGACCAAGAGGGGAAGGAATCCTCCGCCTCGGTGCCTGTCCGATGGAGGGGGAGCAAGGTGGCTTCCGCCTACGGAGTCACCGGTCAGAAGGCACCTTCCTCCCTTGGTCCCTGAGGCAGGGGGTCGTCTTCCTCCTCTCAGTCAGTCCACACAGGTTGCTCTCCACCCACACGTAGCCATCTAAGGATGGGCCCACTGACCTTTGAAGTGGCTTGCAGCTGTTTCGAGGTCTGATGGTCCAAGGCCATGGTGAAAGGGGGCTGCTCCCTGGGGAGAGAAGTCACAGCACGGGTGGCACGCAGCCCCCACCCTGTCCACCCCACATGCTCCAGAAGGACTACCACCCTTCCCATTTTCCGGCATCTCTTTGGCCCAGGGGAGAAGCCAGGCCCTTGCCTAGCTCAGGAGTGGCATGGGAAGGGGGGGGATGGCAAAAGACTCGCCAAGAGGTGCTTGCCAATGATAGGGAAGCCGGCCACATTTGCGAAAGGGGAAAAGTAGCAATAAGAAAGGAAGGAGAGAAGCCACTTCCTCCCATCCCAGTAAAATCCTGGGAAGCAGAAAAGGGATCCTGGCATATTTAGCCAAGGTGAGAGATCCCTCATTTACCGCTTCCAAGGACCTCGGCCATTTGGCCAAGGAAGAGGCCAGGCTTCCTCCCTTTGCCCACTGCGGAGCCTCTGTCCTTGTTCTGGGGAGGGAGGTGGGTTCCCACCGCCTTCCTCTTCTGCCTCTGCTCCGCCAGTCTGCCCTTTTTCCTCCATCGGATGCAACCCCGGTTGGGAAAGAGCCCCACGCAAAAGGCACCGTCAAGCCCAGGAAAAAGCGAAGCGGAGGAACCCTACCGGTTGCACCAAAATTTGCTTCTGCCGCTGAAAACCCGCCGCCGAGCCCCACCATTTATAGCGGGCGGCAGAGTCCCAGGCCAGCAGTATTGATCAACATGTGACCCAAACCAAGAATGCTGGATTAAAGCATAATGCAAACAGAGTCAGCTCCCCCCCACCCTCCCTTTGTCCTGGGAGAGTTATTTCATGAGCTTTCAGTTTGGAGCGGCCTGCTTTGCTTGCTCAGCTCGGTGGGCAAGGAGAGCCCGGTTTTGTTGACCTCAGCAGGTGCAGCCACCCCAGGGCCTGGCGCTGCAAAACCCCCCCGCCCTCCGCCCTCCCCCCCTCCTGAGTGGCCCCAGGGCTGTGTCAGCCGGAGCCAGTCCCTGCAAGGCGCCCGGTGTAGAACGAGCCCAGCCAGCCATTTATGGGTGGGCAGGTGGGCTGCTCCATGGCACGCAGGGCTCCCGTCCCACCAGACCAAGGGCTCCGGGCAGCCAGAGAGGCCTTTCTCTGTGGGAAGCCAGAAACCAAATCAGTCATCAGGAACCCAGGAACAGAGGCCGCCTCCGCTGGGCAAGCCTGACTGGGGGCGAGTGGGACACAGTGCAACTGCCCAGGACTCGTGCTGGGCCTTCCGGAAACAGCTGCTACACTGCATGCTTGTCAGGCTCCGGTTCCAGACCCTTCCTGCCCCAAGGAAGTCCCACATCCCCAACGGAGGCCAGAGAAAAGCACCGCAGGGGCTCCCCTCTGGGCTTCAGCCCAGGGCTGGCCAGAGAGCAGCACTGGCAGGAGTGGCCTGGCCAGTGCAGCACCCATCTGCTCAGCTGCAGCCTATGGGTAGAGGGCTCCCTGGTGGTCGTCTGAATTTTGGTGAGGGGCAGCCAAACCAGCAGAGGAAAGGTGGCCAGATGCAGATTGGGGGGGGGGCATTTGTTTCACAGGGAGACCAAACTGGGGTCTTTGCAGGCAGAGTGGCTTTGGGAGACAGGACACCTCAAGGGCTCCCCCTTGTGGCAACCAACAGAAGGGAGTCTGACCAGAGCGTGACCGACAGGGAACAATGGAAGTAGGGCAGCTGCTCCCTTTGATCAGGAAAGGAGGCAAACATGTAGGTGTCCGTGTCCATGCGCAGCGCCCTCCCCCCCCCCCCCCCCCGTCTGCAGGGAAGTAATGCTGCTGACCAGAGGAAGACGGTTGCTTCCACCCACGAAGAGAGAGAAAGAAAACCTCAGCCACACCAAGTCGCTCTGAGCAAGCTTTTTAATCAGACAATCGAGACGGAACATGTCCAGGAGCAGGACCTCTGTGTGTGGCTTCCCAGAGATCTGCCAGCCAAGTTCTCCCAGCCTCAGAAATGCTGCAGATGCCCGGATGTCCTGCTGGCACTGCCAGGAGAGGCCTCCTCCAAGTGGCACAGGGGTTGGGGCCATCTCCTCCAAACAAGGGGGAGAGAGAGAGAGAGAGAGAAAGAAAGAAAGAAAAAAGAAAAAGAAAGAAAGAAAGAAAGAAAGAAAAGCTGTGGTCCAGGACCGGCACCTGGGAGGCGCAGAGGCCCAACGGCCGGCTGTCACTATCTCCTCTGGCTGAACCCTTTGGGGAGCCAGAGCATTTCGAGAAGAGCACTTATGGGGGGGGGGGGGGCAGGTTTCTAGCCACAGCAGCGTCTCAGGAGGCAGGAATGCAAACCCCGAGGTTGGGCACAGGGCTGACTGAGCAGCCAGCCAAGCAGGACCAGAGGCAGCCTTGGGGTAGCCACTCTGCTGCCAAGAGTGCCTCCAAAGGGGCAAAAGGCAGGGGGGTCACCCCCCATGCGCCCCACAGCATAACCAAAGGGATCTTCAGAGGTGTTCGGGCCTCATCGCTCACAGACGTATTCACAGAACTGCCCAATTTGGGATTTCTCCAGCTAACCAGGATGAGCAGAAAAGGGCTTGCAAGGGTCTCTGCCCTCTTTCCAGGGACCTCCCCCCACCTCCCCCCATCCCACCCCCGGCCACGGAGAGGCAGGTTCATTTGCTCCCACGCTTAGAATCGGGAGAGATCCGGACATTTGGAAGGACCGGAATCGAATTCAGGACTCCCTTCCCCAAATATTTACAAGAAAATCTACAGCAAAGACAAAGAGGATTCTGTGGCTGAGACCCAGTTGCTTCTTTCTCCCTTCTGTCCGTTTCCTCTTTCTGAAGTCAAGACAAAAGCCGCCTCCGGGGGTGATTTACAGCCATTCTGGAAGAGACGCTGGACTTTATTGCTTTCTCTCTCCTGGGAAAGGACGGTTCAATTACTCCACAGCCGACAAAACTCCTACAATAAAACCACCTCTGATCTTTTTGAACAACAACAGGAACGAACCACCATGTTGCCCCTGGCCAAGTAGCAAATCCACAACTTTTGTTCAGCTGATCAAAAATAGATCCCAGAAAAACTAAGTGGCCCTTTTTCCTCCTCGATATGGCAGAAACGAGATCCGGTTCTCACTTCTGCAGAGAGAAAGGGGAAGGCCGAGGCCTCTCTGCCCACAGATCCCAGGTTCTCTCCTTGACTCCCCAGCAGGAAGGCAGCCCCAGATACAGGGTGGTGGGGCCGGGCCCCCTCCCACGAGTTCTCCGGGACTGGAGCCAGGCAGGGCCCCACGAGGAAGGCACTGAGCACGGAGCGGTCGGTCAAGGCGAGAGGAAACCTCAGGAGGGCAGGGAAAGGGCAGAGGTCAGTTAAGGCAGCTCCTCCTCTGGCCAGTCATGGCTTCAACCTGGAAAAGAGGGGGGAACGGGGGGGGGGGATCAGATCATCTGAACTGCCTGGGCCTCCCCTGGACCACCTGCAGCCTCCTCCCCCTCCCAGGCAGGCAGGCAGGTAGACAAGGGAGCTGCCTGGGCCAGGCTCAAGCCCCCTCCCTTTGCCTGGCACCAGCAGCAGTTCAGTGGATGGGTCTCTCTTCCCCAGCTCTGTCGCGGCCAGCCCCCCCCCCCCCCCCCCCCCCCCCCGGCCGCCCCGGGGGGGGGGGCCCCCCCCCCCCCCCCGGCCGGGGCGCCCCCCCCCCCCCCCCCCGCACCTCAGATGGGGCTCTCAGGCTGGTCCTGCTTCCTCCTGGACTTCAGCTCCGTCAGCCATGGGGGGGGGCAGCTCCTCCAGCCTGAAAGGCAGTACAGCCTCAGCAGCCACCCTGGAGGGGCTTCCCCTGCCGTGCCAGGGGGTGGGAGTTGGGGGAGACTTTGCTGAAATAAGGGGCAGCCCATCTTGTTTGATCTCTCACCTCCCTTCCTTCTCGGGGGTGGCCGCCAGCGCCCGGCCACCGGAGCCCCTGGCCAGAAGCGGACCTTTGGGAGACTTGCAGAGGGGTGCTGGGGGGGCTTCCTCCCTCCTCCCTTCCGACTCGTGCCTTTTCCTGAGTTGAGCCTGTGGAGGAAGCCCCAAATCCCCCTCAGGAGAAAACGGAGAAGCAGCCGATGGCCCACAGGGGAGGCGGAGAGCCCACCCACCCAGGCCGTGTCCAGGATCAAGCCTCCAGGCTGGCCCTGGGCAGGGCAGAGACACAGGATTTCTCCTGGGGGGGGCATCTCTGATGTACCTTGAGGGCGGAGGGAGCCAGGCCCGGAAAGAGAGGCAGCCGCGGCTGGGCAGGGAACGGCCTCTCTGCTGGAGGGGACTCCTCTTCATCCTTTTCCTCTCCTGTCCTGGGGGGCTTTCCTTCTTCATCATGAGGGGAGGGGGAGGAAGGAAAATTGTCACCAGAACAGACTGAATCCCCCCAAGAGGCTTCAGGGCTGAGAGGGGGCTGTGGCTGCTGCCACCCAGCCCTTCAGGGCCAACCTGTCTTGGGGGCCACACTGGCCAGGTGTGCACCCCTTTCCCACAGCCCCCTGTCGAGTTGCTGGCGGGGGGGGGGGAAATTCCTGGCTGCAACGGCCTTCCCACGGGTCCCACCTGTGCAGTCCCTGAACATCCAGGCGCTGGCTGGTCCCTCCACTGCAGAGATGGGGGCCGGCTGGGCATCTCCACTGGCACCCCTCCTGAGGGTGTGGGAGATGGGGGCCCGATGCTGCTGCCGCTTTTTGCCCAGGAGGATGCGGCTCTTCAGGACCCTTGAGTCCAGCCGGGGAGTTTGCTGCAAGAGAAGAGACCGGCTTGCAATTGGAACTCAGACCTCCATTCAAAAAAGCCAGAGGGACCTGCCCTGCAACCCACCTCCAGGAAGGAGAAGTCCGGGCTGGCCTTCTCCGTGGGGGGAGATGCTGAATCTGCGTCTGGGCTGGAATCGTCCAGGCTGTGGCTCCTCTGCTCCCTGGATGAAGCCTGTCGGTCAGTGGCAGTGGCCAGACCCCTCTGAGATGAGTACAAGGACGCTTGACAGCTGGGAGATGGCTTCTGTGCAGGGGCCACGCTGCCCTCCAAGGAAGGAGACTTTGAGTTGAAACTAGGACAAGCACCGGATGTGATTCAGCCCGAATGGCAGTTGGGAGCATGACTGATTGCAAGGACCCCTCCATCACCCGAGCTGGGGGCAAGGGAGGGGCTTGCTCTGGGGAGAGGGAAGGATTCTAACAACTCAAGCAAAGGGGGGGGGGCATCTAGAAAAGTTATTGTGTGCCTGAGCTGAGAAGCCCCCAGCCTCTCTTGCCACAAATGTTTGCAGGAGAAGCTGGGGGCTGGAATCAGCCTCATCTCTCCCGCAGACCCCAAGAAGCCACCTGGCTAGCTGCAGGACCAACCCCTTCCCAGCTGCAGCACAGAAGGGGCCTCACCCCATCTGGGTCCTGGGCAAGGAGCTGACTGAGCAGCAGGGGGCGCTGTGGGCTGTGCTTCCCAGGGAGAAAGCAGCTGAAGGAGGCCCCTTCCTGCCACCATCAAACCCCTCCACCTTCCCAGCTGCTAGGAAGCCAGAGCTGGCTCTGGGGGTCCTGCCTGGGGCCAGGGAGTGGCCCTCGTGGCTCCCCTGCCCTTCTTGCTCGTCAGCTGGACTGCAGGAAGTGGGTATGCGAATGTGCCCTTGGCACCCCTCCCGTCTCCTCTCTGCCGCTGGTCACCCCGGGTGCCATACCTGCCATTGGCTTCCTGCACGAGGACGTCGGTGTCCCTGGCCTCTGCTGACGGCCGGCCGAAGCACTGCTTCAAGTGGTCCTTGGGAAGATGAGAAGGGAGAGCTGGCATCACCCTCTGCCAGATGGAACAGGCTGGGGGGGCAGCACCTCCTCCCTTCCCCACTGCCCCATGGTGGTGGAGGCACCTCCTTCCCCATTTCCACAGCCAAGGCCCCACCAGGCCAAACCTTGTAACTTCCCTGGGAAGCAGAGTTTCCGGGACTTTTGCAGTGGGGAGCCAGCATCTCTGCTCTCCACAACCACAGAGCCTTTCATGAGGACAGGAAGCCAGAAAGAAACCCCTTTCTAATCACCTTCATAAATGTTCAATTTCACCGCTTTATGGATATTAGAGAACTTCAGAATGGTGAGTTTAATTTGACACCTCATGAACTGTACCTTCGTTGGATTTAAGGAGTTTTAAAGAGGGACTTAAGAATTTTGAATAACATACGATTGGCAGAAAAAAAACAAGGATTTTGATTTAAGGAAGTTTTAAACAGACCGGGAGACCAACAAGATTTGAAACCCTGGTTATTTTTGCTGTGAGATTTGAAAAGCAAGCATGTAAATAAATGGGAAACAACTGAAGGGGAACTGAAGTGGTGCCAGGAACGGAGGGCAGAGGACGGCTGCAAACGGACACTAGAGGGAACTGGAGGGCCAGGCAGAAAAGAGCTAAAATGACAAAACAGCTGTAACTTTTTATTAAAGAGGTTTTTTTTAAGCAGAAACTGAAATATCAATAACTGATATCTCAGAAAAGATATAGATTTCAATGAATGAACTTTCAGAAGGTGATGAGAAAAAGCTGACATAGGCACTATGGAGATTGTTTGGAAGACAACAAAAGTGAAATTACCAAAATGGGAATCCAGAAAAGGGTCTGTGACAAGCTTTTGCTCTATCCCCAAATGTCCAGGCCACCCTCCCCAAAACCCCCCGAGAAAAGCCTCCGAGGAATCTCTCTCTGACGCCTCCCAGATCCTGCTACCAGTAGTTTTCTGGCAGTGCAAGCCCCAACAAGGCAGCTTTGCTACACAACTACTCACCCAGATACACACTGCGTGTCCAGGCTGCATCCAATCCCTCTGCCGCCTTGGCTGGGGGGAAGCTCTATGCTGGCACACGCACACACACCCCTCCCCGGATGCAGCAGGGGCTCCTCCTGAGCCAGCCAAAGAAAGGGGGGGCACTATACCCCTCCGCCTGCCAGAGAGATGGAGGAGTCCTCCCTGGCATGGGCTTGCCACCTCTTGCCCCACGGAAGGGCAGGGCCAGTCGCTCTCAGCTGAAGTCCCGGAGGGTCATCGCTGAAAGGACTGACAAGCACACACACCCTCGCCCCCCGAAGGGCTTTCCAGCTGCCCAACTGGGTGAGTCTGCTCTGCACACACAGCAAGGCCTGGCTCACACACATACACATACACAATACACAAACAAAACAAAACAAACAAACATACACCCCGGGAGAAGGGAGCCCGTGCGCAGCTTCAGAGCAAGAGGCGGCTGCAGCCACAGATAAGCAGCAGTTCCTAGAAGTGGCTGACCTCACTTATGACATTCCCCCCCCACCCCCACCCTCCTATGATCACAGCTCTTTCCTGGGGGGGGGGGGAGGGAAGGAGCTGACTCCTTCCTAGAAGCACCAGGGGCAAGCAGCCAAGGCTTCAGGGGGGGGGGGGGGGGGGGGGGGGGGCCTCAGGCAGAAGCCCCGGGGAGGGGGGGTCACAAAAGCCCCCAAAGAGACAGTCAGTCATGGAGCCAAGATGGTGGGAGAGAGGGGTGAAGCAGGTTTTGGGGGAAGGGGTTCCAACTGCTTCATGGCTCCCCTCCAAGGAGGGCTTCCCAGAAGCCGAAGCCTCTTCAAGGTGACTCCAGCAGATATTTCTATCTCCCCCAGACCCCCCCCAAAGACTTTGAAACGTTTGAGAGTATTTTTAACCAGAGCCAGAACAATTCAGCCAGACGTCTGCAGCGTCTCCTGTGCAAGTGGGGGGGGGGAGGAGGAAGAGGGGAGCCACTCAAGGAGCACAAGCAGAAACGACCCTGACCCACTTCTCCAGAGGGAGAGAGAGACCTTCTCTCTGGTGGGAAAACCCTAAAACATCCCTGAACTCTCTTTGAACCACCACGACCCAAAGCCTGCTCAATGCCGGCCTTTCAGCCGGTCAGGAGGGAAGGAGCGAAACCCAACCTCTGGCCAGAGAAGGCAGCCCCTGCTGGGTGCCTGTATGTAATCTCTGGGCTCAGGAAGTGGGAGCCCGGTTCATCCTCCACACACACATAGGAGAACATCCCGCCCTCTCTCCGCACGGGGGTTGCCATGGATGCTCCGGTCCTGCCAGGGCCTGCCGCGCTCAGGGTCAGCAGAAGGTTGCCAGAACCAGCAAGGCCTGCTTGGCACAAGAGCATCCCGGGCATAAACATGCCCACCTCCCCAAGCGTCAGCATCTCATAATGCCAAGGCAGGTGGCCTGACCCTCTGGAGAGGAATCCCACGAAGGGCCTGGGTTAAGTGGCTAGAGAAAAGGAGGGGCGCGTGGCTGTGCCGCTCAAGTCCCGGGGCAGGAGCCCAGGAGGGGCGAGTGGAGGGAGTGGCTGTGCCAAGGCCTTCAACCTGATGTCTGGGGGGAAACTCCTTTTATCAGCAGGCACCGTCTGCAACCATTTTCTGGAGAAGGTTAGAAGGCTTCTGCTGGGCATAAAATGGCGGGAGAAAGATGCGCTGTCCGACAGTCCAGGGTTCTAATCCCCCACCCCCCGACCAAGCCTCTTGCCAAATGATCTACTCGGTTCCTAGTGGGAGGTGGTTCTCGGTCCCTCTAGTCTATCCACCAGCCACGAGAGGCGCCAAAGTTCCCGCACGCTGAGACGTGGTGTCACCCAAGGGGTGCCCCTGTGGACAGTGCCCAGCCGTTCCAGAGGGCTGGCACAGCAACCTCCTTTGGAGAACTTTGCTTTAAAAATCACCCAGGGCAAACGGAAAGCCCCCCAAAGCCAGCCTTCTCTGGCAGACCGGTTAAAGTCCCCTGTGGGCAAATATTTGCAAAAGAGAATCAAAACAAGGCTTAAGAGTTGGTGCCAAGGCAAGACGCCATCCAGTTCACCACAATGGTTCTCGAAATCTCAGAGTGCTCAGAGAAATGTCTCCCAACCTCAACCACTTTAAGCTGTGTGGACTTCAACTCCCAGAATTCCCCAGCTAGCACAGTCATTGCTAGGTAAGAATCCTAGGAGTCTTAAAGGGGCCGAGGTTGGGAAACGCTGATTTAGATGAAACCCCCACCACCGCCGCTCCCCAGCAAAGTCTCCTGCAGCTCAGCCCAGGTCTTTGGGTGGGGTGGGGGGTGCAATGCCTCCGCTTGTGGCAGACAAACTGACTTTCCTTCTCTGGGAAATGCAGGCCAGGCCAGCAGGCAATTTCCTGGAGAGTGGTGGGCCAGAGATAAACCATGCAGAAAACAAGCCCACCCAAACCCTCCCCACAGTTCAGAGGCAGCTTCCCCACAAGACAACATCGAAGAAGTAGGGCTGGTCTCTGCCCCAAGAGGAAGAGAAGCCCCAGGCCATCCTGAAACCGGTCTCTGCCCTCCTGATCTGCCCTGCAAGGAGCAGGAGCCCCTCAACCCCACCCGGAGTCCCCCTCCCTCAGACTTTGGTCTCATGCCAGCCCGACCAGGAGAGGTCAGCAACCTCTTGGGACAAACAGAGCCCCTGGGCCCGCCTGACTCAGCGCCCCAGGGCTGGGCCACACAGCCCCGCTGCCTTTGGGGAAGGGAGCTGGGCCGGCCGGGCGGGGCGGGGGTCCTCCTGGCCTTGCTCGCTTCTGTGGCCATCCCGCCCCCCTTATCTTCTTCGGACAAAGGTGCCTTTGCGCTCCCTTTCTCGATAAGGAAGCCGGTTGCGAGGCCGAGGCCGAGGCCGGGCGCCTGGAGGGCCAGCGGGGAGGGTCTCCCTCCGTTTTCGCCCAATCCCCCCCCCAGCCCGTCCTTACGAGCTCCGGCGTGGGCGAGGGCTGCTCCGGGCCGCCGGCGGGCCTCTTCCTGAGCGAGGAGAGCCGGCGCTGGCTGCGCACCGAGAACTGGCGGAAGGACTCCCGGCCCCGCGAGGCCAGTTGCCTGAAGGAGGCCGGGCGCTTGAAGGGGGCCCGGCCCGGCCCCTCGCCCGCCGCCCGCTCGGGGGCCACCGCCGCCGCCACCAGGTTCAGCGCCTCGTGCAGCGAGCGGCGCACCGAGCCCACCCAGCGGTTGACGTGGCTCTGCGCCCCCGCCACCTTCTCCCCCAGCGAGTCCATGGCCGGCCCGCGGGGAGCGAGCGCAGGTAGCGCCGGCCGGGCGCGCAGGGAGGGGCGAGGGGCGGGGGCTGCGCTGCGCTGCGCGGGGGAGGCCTAGCGAGCCCCCCCGCTCAGCCGCCGCCCTCCCCCCGGGAGCCCCTTGGGCGGGCGGCCGCTGCGGAGCGCACGGAGCCCCGGGCCCGGCCAGGACGCGCATCGCGGAAGAGCCCCCATCTGCCAAGGAGGCGGCCGCTCCGAGCCCCGCTCCTCCTCGCCGGGCGCCCACCCAGGAGAGCGCGGGGGAGGCGGGCGGCGCGCTCGCGATGAGCCGGCTGGAAGGGCCGCGCTTGCGGGGGGGAGGGGTCCCGCCCTCCGGGAAGGGAAGCGGCGGCGGGAGGGGCCGGAGCAGGCCGGCCGGGTGGGACACCGCGCGAGTGCGGGGGAAGTTGCCATGGCAACCACCGGAGGAACAGCAGCATCCGCCCCGCGACTCAGGCGCATCCATCGGGCCGATGCCGCCGCCACGTCACGCGGCCACCCCGCATTAACCCCCTCCCTCCCCTCAAGGGGCGCAGCCACATCCCCAGCCTGCCCGCCGCCAAGGCCTGCTCCTCCCGGCCCCCTCCCCCAGCCAGGTGGGTCACCTCAGGCGGTCTCTGGAGGCGGAAGGGAGGCCTTCTCCCACGGGCATCTGGGCCAAGGGAAGCTCCCTGGGTGCCTTGCCCCCTCCCTTCAGGGCGCTTCCCTTCCCTCCCCCAAGCAGGCACTGCCCTGCCTTCCCCAACTATGGTGGCCCCTGCACAGATGACTTCATTTCAGCCCTCTAAAAATAGCCCTGGGGGGGGGACAGGTGTTTGGGAGCCCCCCCCCCCGTCCGTCAACAGGAGTCTTACGCTGCCCTCCGCAGTTTCCTGTTTATGCCACTGGCCTGAGGACGAGCTGCAACATGGACTAAAAATAACTTGCAGCTTCATTGATCTGAAATCCAGTGGCAGAAGGTTCTTGCAAGGGATCTTCCTTTCCCCCCTTTAACAAGCAGCCTTCGGGCAGAATCACATCAAAGGCCCACCTTTTTCACCACAGCACCCCATAATCCTTTACCCTGAAGGAGCTGGTTGGGGAAGATGGGAGTTGAAACTCCCTTTTGTCCAGCAATGGCCAGCCTGAAACCCAAAGCCCTATTTTGCCCTTCACCCCAGGAGGCATCGAGGCAGCCGGGCAAAAACAAGAAACTGGCTCTTTCCCCACCTTGCAAAGCCTCCGAAAGCCGCCCACTGGGACCCTCCCTGGTTCTAAGCCCGTGTGGCTCAAGGAGAGCTCCCTTTAAGTGGTGCCTTAGGCAGGACCATTTGCATAATGGCAGGGAGACGCCAATCAAGCGCCCCCCCTTCCCAGGCAACACCACTTCCTGCTGGGGGGGGTGCGTGGCCAGCAGGGGGAGCACTCATTGGCACAGCAGGGCTGCTGGGACTGGGCTTCTCACCCTGGTTTAGAAGCAGGCACAGGCAGGCGGTGATTCGCCAGGAGGGAAGATGCCAAGGCCCTCATGGAAGCTTAAATATCTGGCATCAGTGTGGCATTCTCCTCCTCCCAAGAGAAAGAGGCATCTCGCCCACGGCATGGCCTGCCTGGAGGCTCCAGCTGGGGGTGCCCCCTTGCTAAGCCCACAGGGGTCTGCTCCTGCGTGCTGGGGGTGGGTGGGTGGGTGGAGGGTCTGCTCCAGGCCCCCCCAGGCCAGTTCCAGGCAGACTGGCTTAAAATTCCCACAGCCCACGCCCACCTCCAGGAAGAAAGGCCCTGACTGGTTCCCGGCCCAAGCAGCCCTGGTAACTGGGCAACCCAGCAGCTCCAGAAAGGGCAGAGTCAACATGCTGGAGGGTTGGCAAAGCGCCTTGGAAACCAGCTGCCACTGGGTGCTGTGGGGGCAAGGCTGCTGCTGCCCTCGTGTGGTATTCCCCGCAGGTGCCACCAGAAAAGCATGAACGGAAGAGGCCAGGAGGGTGGAAAAGCCCGGCCAGCTCTACCCAGCCCAGCAAGGTAACGAAGGCAGGAGGCTCCGCTGTCCCATTAGATTCCAGGGGGAACAAGAAGCTTCTACAGCATCACTTGCTCATCACTGCTCAGAGCCTGGGGTTATCTGCCAAGCCCCCCTCCTTGCCAGGAAACTGAGTCGTTCCCCCCACCCCATTTGAATGGGTCAGAAAGCAGGAGAAAGGCTCTTACTCACCCAGAGGCTGCAAAGGGGCTTCCAGCCACTTGGACAGTAATAGAACTCCATGTCCCGAGTCAGGCAGCCCCCCATCCTGTCCCCCTCAAGCAGGCCAAGCCCCTTCAAGGGAGCCTGCATAATTCAGAGCTCAGCTCCTTGGGGCAGAGGAAGCCACAGAGGGAGAGCAGCCCCAGGGGAGGCTCCCAGGCCAAAGGGGGGCCCATCTCCTGAAACCCGGGGCCCAGCGCTCGTCTCCAAGCTCCCCAGGGGCCCAACGGGTTGCTAAGCAAGGGGAGGCTGCAGCACAAGGTCACCCCCTTCGTTTGTGGCCAATGACCTCATTTCCCCTTTCGGCTGCGAGAGAGAGGAGAAAGCAGCTTAATGTTTCTGTTAAAGCCGCTTTTTAAAAATTAAATGGGAGGATAAAATCCTCCCACGGCAAGCAATTGTTCAGCACTCTCCCCTCTCCGGAGCATCTGAAATGCAGAAGCCGCCAAGAACCTGCAAATTATTCATCAGCCTCTCTCTCTCTCTGTCTCTCTCCCATCGTCACCAGATGCGCTTCTTGATCCACGGTCAGAGGAGAGGGGGAGGGGGGCCCTGACTCTGCAGGCCCCCCCAGGAAGATCTGCTTCTCTCTCTCTTATGCCTCCAGAGGGGCCCCTCCACTCTGCCCCCCTTCTCCTCCAGGGAACCAGAGGAGCCGCCCCAAGGGGAATTCAGGGGGGCAGGCTTGGCATCTTTCAGCAGAGCTGAAGAGCTGGACACGGGGATCGGGGGAGGGGTCTTTCTACCCTCAAGGCGGCTGCGCAGCCCTGATAAACTTCGAAGCAGGAAACTCTGTCTCTGTGTGGCAAGGCTGCCCTTTTGGATCCGGCCAAAGGGTCCCCAGACCCTGAGCGGGACATGGATCCTCACCCCTGGGCGACAGGCATGGCCAAAGTGCCCCCTGGGCTCCCAGAGAGGAGACCGTCTACCAGCCCAGCACTGCCCTATGGGACCAGGAGGCAGCCCCAGAGAAAGGTCCAGCTCATCCCTCCCAGCCGAGGCCCCTCCCCACAAACCCCCTCACAGCAGGGAGGGAGGGGCTCAGCTCAGCGCAGGTCAACCCAGCTGCAGGAGACCCCCATTTTCCCACTGCTGGGCAGGGCAACTGCCGGAGGGTCGCTCGGCTGGGATTGGGGCCCCGACTTGAGTTACTCTCTGGAAGTAGAGCTGGAGCCGTTCATCCAGAATGCCTCCCTGGAGCCCAACCCCCCCCCCCCCCCCCCCCGGAGCTTTCCAGAAGGAGTCAAGGGTCAGGTAAATAAGTGACTTTTATTGCAGACACACAAAGCTCTAATCGGGCAGATTAGGGAAGCTCTGCAGTTTCCCAGAACCTTCATCTCCCATCACCCCAGCCCAGGGGGGCTTAACTGCCCCCGCCCCGCCCCACCCCACCCCCGGCTTCTCTGGCAAGGGACTCCTACTGCCCCTTCTTCTTTGGACCGCGACCTTGTCTGCTCTCAGCCTCCAAGGAAGGGACAATGAGGCAGCGGCCGGCCCACAATGCACTCAAAGGTCAGGCCTGACCTCCAGCCAAGGCTGGGAAGGAGAGTCCCTGCCCACGTCCACCTCAGTCACACCTGGCTTCCTCCCGAGGAGAACCCAAGCAAAATTCCCAGGCCCACAGTAGCAAACCCCACCCCCATCCAGGAAGGCAGACACAATCCAAGTTCCTCTGTGAGGAAACATGGTTTCTTCAATATCCCACGACCAACCGGGTTCAACCCAGATACTAAGCCATAAACCACGATGATGGGTCTAGCAGAGCAACTAGGCGGGAGCAGCACCGTAACAACCACCACAAAAAATTAAGGCAACGGACACACAAACCACAATCCCTTCCCCATGATGAGGCCTTGGAGGAATCATGTTAAGGACATCACGCCTCCCCCCCAAGCCCCCACACATCACCCCCACACATTCGGGGTTCCTGCTGGCCCAACTGGACCCCCACCTAGAAGCAATTCTGCTGGGGAAGAGCCGAGCCCCACACGGAGCCCTCTGCCCGGTGGCCGAAGCATTGAGGGGCCAAAGGCCATCCTCCTCCACCTCCCAAGCCAAGGCGGAGACCAACCCTGGCCCATTCCTTGGAAGAACCAACCATTGACCCATGGCATCTCAGGGGGACCTTCCCAAATGGCCTGCAGATGCCCAGAGAAGAGGCTGCAGCACTCACCCCTGGCCAGTGATCTGTCCTCCTCTCGTTGTAGAAACTGTGACTGCGTCGCTGTGAAAGGAGGTACGGAGAGCACTTGATGGCTGTGGCATCGTCACGGTCCACTCTGAGGCCGCCTTCTCCAAGGTCCTGTTAGGAGGAGACCCATCAGACGGAGAAGAGGCCCCCACCCACCCACCCCAAAAAATATATCAGGCGCTTGATTGAGTCTCAACGACCCTCCTTGTCCTCATCCCTGGATGTCTCCAGGTGGGCTACATTTCAACTCCCAAGGGAGCCGGACCCTCACCCCACTCTCTCCCTCTGCCCCATTCTTCCCACTCCAAGCCCCACACATACCCTTGTGCCTCCGTGGGAGGAGGAGCAGTCCCTTGGTGATGGGCCTCCCTTACTTAGCCAGGCCCCGGGCCTTTCAGGAGTGAAGCGCTGGCAGATGTGTGTCTGATCCAGCCTTGGTCCCAAAGGAAAGCTGAGCCTTGCTGGGCTCCGAGGGGTCTTGTCAGAGGAGGAACGCTTCAGCTCTGGCATGGCCCCCGTCCCTGGGGATGCAGTGGCACTGCTCCACTCCGCTCCAAGCTGCGCTACAGGAGGGCCCTTCTCCCAGACTCCGGCCTGGGGCTCAGCTTTCCACCCAGTCTTGCCGCCCCTCCAGTCACTGCTGGGGCACCACCCCCCGGTAGGGGCCAGAACTGCCCGCTGCTTCGGACTGGCTTCCTTCCACAAGCCTCCCAGGTCTATCTGGGCAGGGTGGGGACTGGGACAGGCATCTTTGGCACTCTGCCCGGTGCCCTCTCCTTGCTCCCTGCCAATGAGAAAGGATGTCTTCATCTTTGGCTCAGGGGGCTCTGCAGACCATGGCTTTGGCTTCTCTGTGTCCGGCTTGCCCCATTGAGGAGGGCTGCATTTCCCCCCTCTGGTCCTAGATTCCTGGGGGTGGATCTCCAGTGGATCACTCCCACGTGCACGGCTCCCCTCGCCACTGCTGGCCTCGGTGCCTGGCCCTTTGCTGCCCAGGGAGTGCTCCACCCTGGTCTCTCTCTGGTCAGAGCTGCAGGGGAGCTTCCCCGAGAAGCTGCTCCTGGGAGGCCATTTCTCCCAAGGAGAGAAGCTGCTCTCTCTCTGGCCCTCCCTGGCACAAAGCTTCTGGGACTCTCCCCCATATTCTGCCATCAGCTCATCAATGTCCACCACTCTCGATCTGTAGTGATCGGGGGCCGCCTCCTCCTCCTCTCCGCCGAGACTGAGCGTGCCGGATCTCTTCTGCTGGCTATCCTGCTGGAGGGGCGCCAAGTAGGAAGGAGACCTTGCCCCAGGACAGAGGGGCAGGTCAGGTCTGGCTGGACGCCCTTCGGCTGATGCCTCTGGTTGTCTCTGCGGCAGCTCCTGGTCTCTGGCCTCAGTCGGGGGAGCCTTAGAGGCCCCGGTGTCTGGACGGTCCGAGGCCCCCGTTTCTCCCCTGCGCCTGCCAAGAGGCCTGGCTGGAGAGCTCTCTCCCTCTGAAAAGGGATCGGCTCTTCTGGAAGCACTCACATGAGGAGCCACAGCCGCAGCTCTCCCAGGCTGGGTATTGATCTCCTCCGAGATTTGGCAAGTGACTGCAAAATACGTGGCCTTGGGCTCTGAAGGAGAGAGCGGCTTCTTCGGGCGGCTGGGAGAGGTGACCTCCGCCTGTCTGGGCTCTAGTCCACCGAGGGTCTGGGGGCTTCTCTTTGCCACTGAGCCATCCATCAGATGCAGGGTGTTGCTTCTGCTGGCCAGTTCAGCAGGGCCCTGAGGGGGCTCCCCCGGGTCCTCAAACCTAGCAGAGCCGTGGGGCAGAGTCTTCCTTCGCCAGCGATCTGAACCTTTGGGAGCAGAAACGTCATGGAAGCTGCTCGTCCACCTCGCTTCGATGCCGAGCTCTCGCGACTCCTTTCCTTCCGCCATGGCCTCCCACATTTCTTGGGCCGCTCCGTATCTGGCTGAGCGCAGCTTCTGTCCTTCGGGGTCCTCCGGCCCCTGAGATGGCTTCAGGTCCAGGCTGAAGAGGCGTCCTGGGCAGCTGGCACTTTGCCCCCGGCTGGTCTGCTGATCAAGCACGCCGGGCCAGCCTTCCCAGCCATCGGCCTCGGGCGCCCTGGTTTCAGCCCACTGCAGGGTGCGACCCAGTGCTTTGGACCCCTCCGTCACACCAGCAGGAGCAAGCCCCCTCTCCTTTTCGGTTTCCAACCATGGGGCAAAGTTGCCGTCATCCTTCATCCTGAAAGAGGCCGCCTGCTGTCCGGCCCGATTCCTCTCTGGCCCACTTCCTTCCCTGTAGAAAGCAGCCTGGATCCCGGAGGCAGGGTGGTCCTTCCACGGGCCAGTTCCTAGGGCAGAAGCCCCTCTCCAGCCTTCGCTCTTGCCAGAGTCACCAGCTCTCCGGTTCTCCTTCAAATATCTCTGGCGGCGGAGAGTGATGGCCTTCCCTCCAGAAACAACTGCCACTGCCTCGCTCTGCGCCCTCTCCCCCACGGTCTGCAGAATCTCGTACCTGGGCTCGATCCTTTGAGCCAGCAGGGAATCGTTCATGCCCTTTGAAGCAGGTTGCTCACCCTTCTCCCCCAGGGAGTCTTCTGCCAACGTCGGAGAGCCTTCGTCCTCGGTTAAAGGTCTGGGATCTTTGGGTCCTCCGGCCTCCCCTGATGCTTCAGCCTCCAGGGCGGAGGCTTTGGTCGGCTGGCCATCTCCCACCATTCTCTCCTTCCAAAATTCCCCACCACAGCAGGGCGAGCCTCCAAAGGGCACCATCAATGAGAGCAAGGCCGGTTCGGTGCCAAGCTGGCTGGCCACCACACTGTATCTCTGCACGTGATGTTCAAACATGGTGGCTCTGACAGTCTTAGGGCAGGCGTCTTCAGTGGACGAACTGGACAACGTTCTCGCTTTGGGGCTGAGGACCAAGCCAGGCTCTTCCCCTGGCAGAGAGGCATTTAGTCTGCCTTTAGCAAAGCTGCCCTGTCTCTTGGGGGGCCCCTCTCTGGACGGTGTTTTTGCCAGCAGCAGGGGCTTCCAGGGACTGCCAGCCATGCCGGCTTCTCCAACATCTGCTCCACCCACAGGCAGCGTCGTCTCCTGAAACAAGCAGAAATGTGCATGCATTAGGAAGGTGTTTGGGGCACCTCTCTAACTGGCATCTGCCAGAGCAAGTCTTTTTTTTTTTAAAGTGAGAGCTGGAAGCGTTCAGGAACACGATGTCATAACACCTCGGTCTTTTTCTTTAAATAGTTCATAGCAGTATATTATTATTATTTTTTTATGCAGAGAACAATGCAAAGGACATTATACGCCACCATCCATCCAGTCACGTGGATGGGCATCTGTTCCTTGGTTTAAGCAATCTCTTTAAATTTCAGGTTCGTCCAAAAACGGCCCATCCCACAAAAAAAGAAGCTTTGTGAAGAGACCGCACCAGACATCACAGCAAATCTGAGACCTTTGCAAAAATGTATATATAGTGGCAAATGTTTATTAAACTGGCTATACAAGCAAAACTACCACAACCTCTTACACACATACATACACACCTACACTTTCACTTTTATGGAGCACAGCCAGTTAACCAGCACAATCCTTTGACAGATCAATGAATCACCAGGAGGAGGAAACCTTCAAGGAAGGGCTAGGAGGACCACAAAGGCCGTGTGGCCATCAGGCTGCTTAGAAAGAGCACAGAAAAGGCGCGACCCTTCCGTTAATCTTGGGACACTTCAATTCCCATAATCCACATGCTGGCTGAGGGATTATGGGAGTTGAACTTCAAACTTGAGAAGACTGGCATAACAGCTAGACTGTGATCTAATTGACTGGGAAAAGGGACAAACCTACAGCTTATTACGATCCTGGAGAGCTGCTTAAAGCGTTCCTAGGCACACGTGGCTAGGAAAAAACACAATTTTCTGGGCTACCCAAAAAAGGCATCAGCAGAGGAAGCTCCTGGGGATCCTGCCCTGCCCCATTTCCCGCAAGGTCATACAGGCCGTGTCCAATTTAGGTTTCTCTTTGAGGGAAGAAATGGAGTCTGGATTTTCCCTCTTACCTCTGGAGCCTCTTGCATTTCACCAGCAGGCTTCTTGTTCCATTCAGGCTGCCTCTTGGGCTTCAGCTCGCCTGCAATCACGGGGCCAGAAAACCTGTTTGCAAAGATTCCATACCATTGAGGAGGAAAAAACACAGAAGAAATGCAAGCCTTTGTGCAATTCCCTCCAACCTTTGCAGCTGAAAGGCAGTCGGCTATAGTTGCCACACACTTACAAGACCTTAGCGCTGGCCTCCCCCAAGGGTTTCTTCCCCCTGCCCCGGAATCGGTCTGCCCACATGTCAACAGGGCATCCCTGGGTTCAATCCTACATCCAAGCTTATCCAAGATCCCCCGGAACATCTTTCATTTTATCAGAGAGAGCTGATAAAATTACCCATAAGCTTCAACCTTCCTGGACCTCCATTTTTGTTAGTTCAGAATTAAAACTGAACTTCATTCTTTCTCCCATTACAGATTCTTCCTCCAAAGGGCCATTATTAGCTTCAAAGCCCCGAGGAAGCTTTCCTGCAATGCCGCGGTATCTTTCCCAGCTTGGATTTCCAGTCCCAGAATCCCCCGAGCTGCACGGGATTGTGGGAGTGAAATTCAACCCATTCGGAAGGCACCAGCTTCACGGCCCTTTCCCCCATCACGTACATCTTTGTCAAATCTGTGGAAAGAGGCCGTGAGCGGAAGGAGCGGTGCAGGCCTCCTGCCTTGAAACCCGCGTTCTCTGCCGTCAGCACTTGAATCCTCTGCTGGATGTTCAGTGTCCGGATCTCCTTTCCGGGGCTGCCGCGGAGGGACTCGCTCTCGGTGGGAGCCCAAGGCTTTGCTGACAGGTCCAGGAGTGGGACGGTCTTTTTAGCGCAGCCTCTGTGATTGCCATCCGAGGCGTCGGGCGGGTCGGCATTCCTTAAGCCAGCCTCCTGGGGAGTGACCTCTCCTCTCTCCCCCAAAGGCTGGTCTTGGTTAATGCTGGGCTGCCCCACACTGGGCTTCCCCTGGCTTCCCAGCTCCTGTGCGCAGTTTTGCCCCTCGTCTTCCGAAACGGTCTGGCCTGAGGGAGCTGAGGGCAAACAGCTTTGGGGGGGCTCAGCCAGCTGGCTGGCACTTTTCGCTCTGGGCCCAGATGGGGCAGCCCCACTTAAGCCGGCTGCTGCATGCCTGGCTCCTGTGGCCCCCAGGGCCCTGTTGCCAGCTACGCGGAAGCTCTTCTCTCTGCTCTCAGCCAGACAAGGCTTCTTCTCCCAGGAGGACTCCCGGACTTCAAATCTGCCTGTGAGATCTGTGGGGAGCGGCCTTGGCTTTGGGGTCCCTGGGCCGGAAGCAGCCTTGGGAGGAGGTGGTTGCGTTTGTTCCTGCCAGGATCCCCAAAAGCCAGCCGAGGCTGCGGGTCTCCCACCTGCCTGGGAGTGCGTCTCAGTGGCCGGAGTCGGACTCTGCTGTGTCTCAATGCTGCTAGCCGAACCCTTGGGTCCTCCCGCAAAGGCTTCCTTCCAGTGAGGGGCCCAGGAGACCGGCCTGGGGTCCGTGAAGGGCAAGGGCTGCCTTCGGGGCCACTTCTCTGACTGGGAGCGTAGCAGCTGCCCCTCCTGGGCCTTGGACCCTCCCTCTTCGGCCTTCCCCTTCACAGGCCTTCTGCTTTCAAAGAGGATGACGGTGTTGGCCTCAGGACTCAGATAGAAGGGCAGGTGGGTGACTGGCTCCATGGGACTTTTGGTCTCCATCGGTTTTTGATCCACCAGCGGTGGGACGTTTCCAGGCGACCCCTTGGCAGCGTCTTCAAAAGTCTGGGCAAAGGTGGGGGGCTTTGGCGAAGCATTGCTGGGCTTGAGTGCTGGGACGGGCGGTTTCACTGTAGCAAACGTGTCGGAAGACGTCTCCCGGGAGAAGGGCTTGGGGGTCCAAGGTGGCCTGGACGCGGTGGAGGGCATGGTGGTGGGACCCATAGGATTCCCCCTGCCCTCTGGGATAAGCGGGGCCAGAGCACGGGGCCCCTCCCAGGGCTTCCGGCTGGCGTCAGACAGTGAGCTGATAAAGGAGTGCCGGAAGGCGGCCTCGGTCCTTGGTTCGCTTATGCCGCCCAGTGAGGTCAGGGCAGAGCCGAGTTCAAGTTGTGTGGCCATTGCTCTGAAGGGCCTCATGGAATTGGGATGGCGAGGGTCCCGCGAGAAGGAGTCCCCTACGAGAAATGGAGATATCAGGCATTAATACGAGGCTGAGAGGCCGGCGGTTCTAGCTACCGTATTCCCATGGAAACGTTCCAAATAATCATAGCCCACCAAAAGGGATCTGAACCTCTGCTCTCTGCTGACTTTCTCTTGAGTCCCAGCACACAGACACAGGCGTGCAAGTGCACACGCACCGTCCCAGCACTCCCACAGATGCATTTTAGCCTCCCAAGACCGATCCGGTTCCGTTCTCAAGAAGCCCTTTCACACAACCTGAGTGTCCTGGCCCGTTTCACAAGGATTCCACGTGGGAAGGGATGTGACTCCAGGGAGGATCATTCTGAAGCAGATCTGAAGCAGAACAAAAACGGCTGGAGAGAAACAGCCTCGAGGATTCAGCTGTGAATGAAAAAAAAAAGACAAGACATTCAGTGGCCGAGGAAGATACTTCTTGCCTCCTACCCAGGACTGATAACCTGGACCCCAAGCTGACCCCTCCCTTGCCCCCTCTGAGTCCTGGGGTTCCTTTTCCGACCGTTGTGGGGCCTCCTCTCTGCCCCACTCCCTCAAGGCAAGAGAGGGTCAGAGCCGCTTGTGGGTCTGGCAAGCACAGCCTCGCCTCCTTGGGAACAGGACAGGCGATCCGGGAATTTAATTGGCTTTGGTTAAAAAAAAAGGAAACCCACGACATCCAATGAAAAGCAACTAATCCAGATTTGCATGCCGAGCATTTCATTCCAAAGGGAGCAGCTGATGATTGGGATGCAAACAGCTCCTGGGGGGAATTTGAGGGCAGCAGCTACCTTTTCCCAGGAGGGATCCCCAAGGCCGGGGGGGGGGGGGGGGGGGGCGGTCAAAAATTTCAAGCAACTTCCCAGGCAATTCCCAGAGCAGGACCCTGCTGCTCTGCTGGAGCATTTCTGCCAGCATCTCTTTTTCACCACAAACCCTTCACCACTCCCTTGAAACACCCCTAAATCCAAACCAACTCAACGCAGTTCCCAGGTGCTTTCTCTGCTCGGAAAGGGGGCTCGGTGGGCTTGCAGGCACCTTTCCGGATGCAGGAGAGGCAGGAGGCCGCTCTTCGCCTCCCAGGAACAGAAAGGCCCTGCTGAGAGATCGTCTGCTGTCTTAGGCAGGAAACAAGCCGTGGTTTGTGGGGTATATTATAAGCAGACACGTCTCTGTAATCAGGCAAGCTTGTGGCCTGGACCCTGAAATTATGACGGAGCAATTAAAGTGGCTTTACAGTAACCGGCAGACCTTAATCCCATCCCCCCCCCAGGCCAGCTGAAACCCAGCAGCAGAGGAAACCAAAGCCCATCCACCTCCCAGAACCTAGCATAAAATATTGGGGGGGGGGGGGGGGGGGGGAGAGAAGGGACTGTCATGGACCCACTCCTCTCCAGGGGCTGCCCAGAGGGAACCCTGCAGGGCCTGCCTTTTCCCTTCAGCACAGAAGAACCCATCTGAATCCAGGGGGCGGGAGGCTGCCCAGGTCGAATGGATGCGACTACGGCGGTTCTTCCGGATGTTTTTCCCTCGTGCAGCCGTGGCAAAACCCACCATGTCCTGCAGCCGCCTCCCATTTCACCCACTCCGCCCTGCTCACACAATCAGGGGGGGAGTTTAAGGAGCCAACCTGCAGGCAAGGCTCTTGGACAGCAGGAAGCAAGCCCATGGTGCACAGCAAGGCTGACTCATCCCCTGGACTTCCTCATTCCGCCTTGCAGGCGGTCCTCCAAGGCCTCTGGGTGGCCACAGGGCACCCCTCCAGCCAAAGGCTCCTTCCCTGTGCCCTGGGAGCCTCTGTCTGCGCACCTGGCAGTGAGTGCCTTGTGTCTGCACCGAGTGGCCTCCAAATCCCCGGATCCCAAGACCACCTGCTTCCCAAGATCTCTTCAAGCCGAGTTTAAAGCTGGTGCCTCACCATCTAGCCGGGATGCTTCTGGCCCTCTCAGCTTGCAGGGCCGTTTCCTCTGGCAGCTCTTTCCTGCCTCCCCCCTCCGCCCCAGTCTCCCTGGCCCAAAGCTAGCTGGAAACAAAGCCCCGGCTGTGCTCTGCAAGGACACAATGGCCTCGGCAGAAGGCGCCTCCGCTCCAAGGCGCTGAGCAGGAGCAGAGGGCGTTACGGCAGGGAACAAAGGCCAAGGTCTGTGGGAAGGCTCCCGAATATCCACCAGTCGTGGCTCTTTGCCCAGGCCCCAATGCAGTCGAATGATATTCGCCCAGGAGCTGGTCTTCTACCCTCCGAGGGGCTAAGAGCCCCTTCCCCAAAAGGAGCCCAGGGGATCTCTCTGCACTGAAGGCCAGGCCCAGCCACCACGCTCCAGCAGCTCCTTCCTTGCATGTGTCTCAGACCCACCTCGGATTCTCAAGCTGCGCCACCATTCCGAGACCGAGCCCCAAAGGGAAGCTCTGGATGCCAACACACAAACGGAGAAGGAACAGGCGTTGTGACAAAGGACAACAAAGAGGTGAACGCATCTTATCCACCCGGAGAGACCCCTTGTGCCAATTCCATGCAGCCAAAGTGCAGCCCCTGGATAAGAGAGGCCCGCCACTGGGTCAGGCTGGGGGTCTTCTTTCTTTCAGCCCTTCTGCGAGAGCTGACTTTGAGGCAGAAACATCCCTGGCAGAGCCCTCACCCACCAGAGATCCCCCCAGGCAGAACTGACCCTCTTCGTCCTTACCAACAAGCCATTAAAGGCAAGGACGACGTTTTCAGCTTGTGCACATGGGCAGGCGGCCCGAGGGGACAAGACCAGGCAAGCTATGCTTTGCATTGGAATCCCCTCTCCAATTTCTGTTACGGACCCCTCTAAAGCAACGTAGCGATGGCCCCAGTGGCCTCGTGCCCGGCGCTCTCTGGAGAACGCAGCTGGCAGCCAGCGGAGCCCAGGACCTTCGGTTTCAGAGACGGAAGTCGGGGCAGAGGAGGGGCGCCGGGTCTTTCAAGCAGGATGCCCCAGAGACTCTCAGCACCAGCCGTTTCCCAGGCTGCTTGTTCCAACGCAGAGTCACGGGCAGGGAGGGGAAGGCAAGCTGGCACAGGACTGGCGGCATCTCTGGGTAGCCGAACAAAGAGCTCTTGCAGACAGCCCACAATTCCTGGCACTCGGCACATGGGAGAACCGGGCGAGCTGCAGGCGGCTGCGACCGAGCGGGCGAGCCCCACATGCTGGGAGGCCCACAGCTAGGAAAGCCAGGCTTTCTCTCCAGGGCAAAAAACTAGTGGCTCACCTGTTGACCTTCCCCAACCTGGTGCCCACCAAGGAAGGCTGCAACTCAGCAAAGGTGTTCAAGTCAAACACGTCAACCTCCTGCTTGACCAAGGGGCAGGCACAGCCACTTCCCAGCAAGGGCAGGCTCTCCCTCCCCTGTCCCCCCGTGCCCCCCCCCCGCCAGTTATCAGTGTTGCTAAAGGAGCAACTGGTTTTACAATCCTTTTACTGCCCTCAAAATCCACCATATACGATCACAGGTTCTGATTTATTCCACCCAAAACATGAAGCCTTGGTTATTATTATCCAGGGGGACCTGGAGTTGCCTGGCTCCTGGGCACTCTTCAAAGGGATCTGTGCAGGAGAATCGGCTCTTCTGTACAAGCAGCCCTCGGCCCCCATGGACACACCCGAGGGAACCTTGGCCCGCTGCCAAGCTAAGGGCAGACCACTCCCTCCGAGCAGCACCTCAGCCTTACCTGCAAGCAGCCAGCCGGCCACCTTCTGGGCCAGGTACCCCCACGCTGGGCCTGCCTCTCCTGCAGCCAAGACAGACCCTGGGCTGGGGCTGCATTCTCCTTATTAGCAACTGTACCCACAGGACATGCGCCAACGGAGACGGTAAGCAGTGCCACCCTTGCAAAGGACTGGCAGCGGCCTGCCCAGACCTGTTCCACCGCACCTCACCTGGCATGCTGTGCCGACCTTCGGCCTGAGATTCTGCCTAGAGCTGGTTCTCTTCAAGGCCTTCGGAAGCTGGCACCAGCCCTGTTATATGGCGGTGGAAGCCAACACCCTCCAGCAGCCCCTCCCCCACCCTCCAAGATGGACTATGGAACCAGCTTCATGGATCTCAACTTTTCCACTTTTCTCCTGATTCCAGTCCCTGAAGCCGAGAAACCTGAGATCTCCCACTGTCTGCATAAAAAGGAACTTATTTCCTTAAAAGCAGCACTGGTTTCGCCCACCTCCCCTCCGCAGAACTGTTTTGCCACACCTATTAACTTCAATTAACTTAGGTGGAACTCACACACACACACACACACATACACACGCTATTCTGGGGTTGGCATTTCCATGAAAAGGCAGGTTCAGAAGGAAGCAGGGGAGCTGGCTTTGAAGCCCCAAAGCTCAGGAGGAAAGAGCAGCCAAGTTCACCCAGCTACGATCTCCAAGCCTCGCCCTGAGCTGCACTTCGCAAGTATTCTTTTAATATTCTATGAACATCAGGAACAGGACAGGAACGGCAATTTCCCGTTTTAAGTACTGCAATGTTTGTCTTCACTGATTCATATTAAATAAAATAGGCACAAACTGGTTAGCCCCACAGCTTAGGAACCCTCCCCTTCCAGTTCAGCAGAAGAAGCTGCTTGGGTCAACACAGAGTGCTTTGTTCTCCCTTGTCGCTTCCCGTCTTTCTCTCCCCCTTAACAATTCTTTAAGACAGAACAGGCCAACCTTCTAGCAAACCTTAATCTTCAGCATTACCATTTCACTTTTGTTTTGCCAAACACGGTGCGTGCTCCAGGATCCACAAAGCTACCTGGCTGGCCATTTTCTAAGTCCAAATCAATACCATGTTTGTCTTAGAACAGCCTCAACCACCATCTGAGAAGATGTACAGAGCTCACTGCTGAGGAGACAGTCTCTGCCTGGATGACTCTAAACTCACTCACTGGTCCAACTGGTTGGACTGGCCTCCGCATTCCTTCGGAGCTCTGTCCACATGGCTTAATGGGTGAATAAACTCCTGCTTCAATGAGTAAGTTACCACTTATGCAGCACCGTCCAGGCTCATGATGCTGGGCAGGAAGACCGAGGCTGAAATTTAAGGCAATTAGGTGATGGGCATGGCTGGAAGACTTGCATGGATGGGCAACAAAAGCCATCCGAAGAAGGCCCGGGGAGCTTTGTTCTTCCTGCATCCCAGGATGTGGGATCATGTGTCAGAAGTCTTCCATCAGAGCAAGCCAACCAGCATTGGAAAGACTAACAACAATTGCTTTAATCGATATATCCCGGGATAACCGTATGCGCAGGTATTTAAGTTGTTCACACATTCTTTCTAGAGAAGCATTAATCATTTGCCAGAAAAACCCAACAGAAACAAGCATACAGATTTTTTCCGATTAGCTGCTCTATTTCCTGTCATAGTTGAGAAGAATGCTAGGAGTTCTCTTCCTGAAACACACTACAAAAATATACTCACAAGAATTACAGAGAAAAAAAAAAATCCTTTCCAGCAAACCCAAGACAACTTAAATTATCTTTTTTCCCCACGTTAGCCTCACCACATATGGGTTTTGGAGTCCGTTTTCAGCAACTTGCTGCTCAGTGTGATTTCAGTAATGTTGCTCTTTTCCCATCTAATAAACCTCCTATTAATACAGTCTCCCGCAACTTGGGGTTGCAGACCACCTGACTCTGACTGGCCTGTTCCCTTTTTTTTTTCCTGAGATGCCAAAGGAGAGCCTGGAAGCACTACGGCTCCTTTGGAGTCCCAATTCTCCCCTTCCTCCCATCCTCCACAATCCTGAAGAAGCTGACAACTTTAGGAAGGTGGCCAAGCTTGGTTCCTCTGGCCAGCTTCCAAAGAAAGGCATTTTCATCATCGCCTTTGTAAACACGCATTGTTTAAAGCTACTTAAGAAACTCTATTCATAACTATTATTATGTGGGCACACCTCTCAGTTTGCACACATCACATGAGAAGAACTCCTGGGCACACATTTCCAACCGCAGCTCAGTTCCTTGGAGGAGAAAGACTTTCTGGATCAGGTTGTCTGTTTATTTTTTTCTTGCCATGAGACCTTCTTATAATTACCACTGAGAGAAAAAAAGATTTATGACCCATCCAGCAGTCATACACTGCAATCCCGGAATGGCATTTCCACTTCAATTATTGTATTCCACAGGCAATTTTGAGCCGATCTAAGACATTTGAAAGGCCTAGGGGAGAAGCCACCAAGAACCTCTACAGCCAATTTTCGTTCTCCAAGACACACAGTGGAAAATTATGTCTGAAAGAATTAGACTCGGATGTAACAGTGTCTGGTTACCTTGAGTCCTGCCATCTGCCGAGGACTTTAGCTAATCCTTTGAACGCTGAAAATACAACCCAATATTGAGAGGTCGCCCGTCCTTTCAGAATAAATTACTCTGGTTCCATTTATGGCACCATTTACGGACGGTGTTCTCCGAGTTGCCAATGTGGTTGGTGGCGAAAATTGAAGGCGGCAAGCCAACAGGAGAGAAGCCACTGGGGGAACCCAAATGAAATCTTTCACTTGCAAATCAAAGGCCATCGACTTGAGCGCCTTCCGCCCCCAGCAAAACCTTCTCTTGCTGCACCAGACTGGACCCGCCAGAAATGTCACCCAAGATCCAGCAGATCCTGCCTGGTCTCAAGAGGGCCGGTGGGATCCCATTTGGCAAGCGGGGGGGGGGGGGGGGGAACCCGGGAAGGACAAAGGGGAATCACCTGCCTGCCCAGAACAAAACACTCCCTGCGGCCACTCGGCTTCCTTTGGTCCCACCTGGGGGAGCCTCACCTGGAGAGCACGTCGGAGCCCCAACTGCTCCTGGGCGGGGGAAGGGGGCCCCGAGGCTCCCTGGGCCTTTCGGAGACCCCGGAGGAAAGTCCCCCCTCCACAAGACCCCCGCCCGGAGAGAGGCGCCTCCTACCTGCCTGGGCCAGGAAGCCGGGGGGGGCGGTCCGGGGGGCAGCGGGACCCCCGCTTCAGAAACGCCCCCCCCGGAGGGATGGGGAGGAGAGGCCGAGGGAGTCGCCCCCCCAGGAGCGGCAGGGAAGGGGACCGAGCAACGCAGGGCCCCGACTGCGGGGACAACAACGCCCATGCTCCCCAGCCAGCACCTGCCAGGCCCGGGGGGGGTCGGGGGGCGGAGACCCCTCAGGGCCGCGGTTGGTCCCAGGGGGCGGGGCTGGAGGGGTCACAGGTGGGGAGGGGTCCTGCAGGCGGGGATAACCAGGCACACCTCGCTCCCCTCCCCCCACACACCGCGCCCCTCTTCTCCCCCCCTCCAACACCCCCACCAGCAGGCCGGGCCGCAGTCCTCACCTGGGTCGGGCAGCAGCTTACCCGCGCGCCCTCCTCTCCGCGGCGCAGCCGAGATCGCTGCGAGGGGGCGTGGCCTCAGCCGCTCGGGAGGGCGGGGCCCCCGCAGCCTAACTTGCTCGTCGGCCCGAAGCCTGGCGCGAGGAAAGCACCTCCGTCGCCATGGCGACCCACGTCCCGAGGGGGCGGGGCTACATCTCGCGGGGCGGAGCTTCGAAAGAGACCCTGGCGCGGTCGCCCAAACATGCCGCCCCCCTCAGATGTGAACTACAAGTCCCAGAATCCTCCAGGCGGCGTGGCTGGTGGGCCCTGGAAGCGCCCGGGAGACCCCTCCTCTTCGGAGCCTCACGAGCCCCCGACCGCCCCGCCCCCCGCAAGAGCCGCTTCCACCGGGAAACGGGAATTGTGCAAAGAAGATCCCGCCCCGCTTTTGCCGGCCAGGTTCAGGCGCTGAGGCGGGCCCCACCTGGGCCTCTTCTCTAGGGGCCCCAACATCCCTCCCTGGGGCGGAGGGCGCTTCAAAGACTTGCCGGACTCAACTTCTTTGCTTTTTTCCCCCTTTTACTGTGGATTTGAAAACACATAGATAGAACCATAGACAATATATAACTTTCTCTTTGTTTTTCTTTCTGGCCCACAGACACAAATTACACTCAGAATTAACAAAATTCCAAAGCATGATTGAGTCAATGACAACAAAGGAACAAGGGCAAAATTCAAGCAGATTTTTAAAAAAACAAACCAGCAGCATTTTTTTTAAACCAGACAAAACGTGAACCATAGAAAGTACATGCCAGGAGGCACTTCCAGAATGGATGAAATAAGCCCCCCCCCCGACCCCCCACCCCCGCCACACACACACAAAGCAGCAGCTGATTTCTATTGGGCAGCAGTTGCTACACATCCACAGCACTTTCTCTTGCTTCCCGAAAACCTCCTGGCATTACTGGGGGCTGCAGGGGGGGGGGGAGAGAAGGGGATGGAGAAGCCAAGAGCCTCCACTCGCCTGCATCTCAGCTTCCTGAATGGGGAGGGAGGTCTGGTTACACTTTAGCCCTGATTTAATCTTTTGGGACCCCCTGCCTTAAGGCAGTCGGTGCCAGTGAGCAAGGCAAGACCCAGAAGCAAAACAGGGAATTCACGCCTCGACACCCCAAGGAGGCAGAGAAATTAGCAATGCAACCTTTTCTGCCCATCCAGCATGGGGAATTTATTTGTGTGCTACTGTAGGGGTAAAAAAACCAGGCACCTTTGAAATGTTCCTGGCCTTCCCTGCTTTGAAACTTGGATCTCAACTCAACTCAACCCCTGGAGTGGGAAGTGCACTAAATGCTCACTTGTGCACACACAGACCCACAGTCACAAGAAGACAGACTTGTTGCATTCTTCAGGTGTTCCAACTGGCTAATCCCCATCACCCCAAAATGCATCCAGCACAAAAATGCAACAGCAAGCAAGGATGAAACTGAAATCAGTTGCTCAAGACTCACTGGCCTTTTGCTGTTCAAAAGGTGTGGTTGTGTGTGCCAACAACTGTCTTGCCTTCCTGCTTCATCCCCCACCCCTTGGAGTTTCCAGTCCTGCCCACGAGCCTTCCCAGCTGTAAATTGGATTAGTTTTATTTTAAGGCAAAGTCAGCAAAAAGGGGTCAGCAATCACCAGGCTGAGCCAGGACAATCCCTATCTGAAAGGAAGCCTTGCCTCCCCCTGCCCTACAAGTCAAGCACGCAGCCCCTCAGCTCGGAGGAATTATCTGGACAGCTGAGGCTGGCACCCACCCTTCTCCCTGGGGGTGGAACTGTCATCGCCCACTGAATAAGCCTCTCAGGGCAGCAAAGAAAGGGAGCGGCTGCCTCTTTCTGCTGAACCTGGCAGGTTACTTATCTCGGGGTGAAAAGGCGGCTTCGAACATGGACTCTGCCCCCTGATAACACGGATGCCCTGGCCAAAGGGGCATAAATTGTTCCCAGATATTTTATGGGAAGCAGTATATCACTTCTGTTATAAATAAAGAGTAATGTTATAAGCTGAGAAAGCTTTCCTCAAATCACTTCCTTTTCAGGACACTGAAGCAGAAGAGAAAAACACCTGTTTCATTGACTCCTTCAACACACACCGGAGGGAGGGAAGTCCTCAAGATCACACAAAGCTCTTGCACTGCATAATCCAGACATCTTTTTTATGCATGCATATGTGTGTATGTGCATGTGCATGCACACCTGCTCACACACATATATGCATGAGCTACCGTAGTTATCTGTATAATATGTAGCTATATACAAGACAATTTCCTGCTAAAATGTTTACAGGATACATTTTGAGACAGCGACAAAAAATACACCTCTGTTTGCATAGGGATTCATGCACACAGACCTCAGGACACACAGAATTCATAAACGTATAAATAATGTCTCCCTTGCATTTGTAACTGTTTCCCCCACATGCGCACACGCACAGATCCTGCTCGCCAAGAGACATCATCCGCTCTCTGCCTTCATCGGCAGCCAGGACCAGGCACAAATTCCTCAGCTGGCCTTTGCAGTCCTACAAGAGTCCCTCCGAAGGGCATAAGCTGCGTGGCCCAAGACACCCTCTCTGTGAGATTCTCTTCTGACCTGAACACACCAGGCCCGCCCAGGGGAATCCTGGGGGGAGAACCAGGGCTAATCTCCTGCCAGGGACTCTGCCGATGGCTCCTTATTAACAGTTTAGCTGCTGCCCTACAGATTGGGAGGGGGGGTGAGGGTCACCCAAGAGTCACAGCTGGTCTCTACTATGGCATCATCATGTCCAGAATGAAATGCCCCCATCCCCATTGACCAGAAGGTCAATGAAAGGGATTGGCTTAATTTTCTTGTTCAAAAGCAACAAGATTTCCCTTTCAGGAACAGATCACTCACTCAGGATTGTGCTTTTAAGAAAGATCACTAGAGCAATATTCAAAATTCGAAAGCCCAGCACAATTAAAATGCACATTTGCACATATACACACTTGCGCACGTACTGGATCTTTTGGGTGTCTAACTGATTATTCAACATTCGACTTTGTCTACCTAAAGCCCAGCGAAAAAGCCCAGGGGAAACACTTTAAAAGATGGGCTTCAAAAATCCAGAAACCTTGGTCTCTAAACGCTCCCTTTTCTGCAAAGTGGGGTGGAGGGAATCAGAGAACGAAAGATTGCCAAGAATGGACCAGGTCGCCTGGGCAGGACTTTTCTTGCGTTCTCACCCAGAACTGTGCCCAGGCGGCACCTCCACACTTAGATGGCCTTGCTGTTCTCAGGACCACAAGAAACAAAAGTATTGTACTGAGAAAGCTTGTGGAAGTACAAAGGGAGTCCAATTTGCCTCCTGCTCCTCCCAACATCATCATCTTCCTCCTTAACTAAAAGATGTTTACCTACGATAATATTTCTGCCAAGTGTACTTCCTCCCTAGCTATACAATTTGGAAGTCAGCCACTTCCATTTCCTGAACTAAATTTCCCTGGGATTTGCAGAAGGCAGCCACTTCAACGTTTGAAGCAACTGTAGAAATAGCAGCTAGAAATGAGCCATAATGGCAGACCTCCCTTCCTTTGCAGTCCAGCAAAGACGTTACCCAGAATGGCAGAACGTTCTGCTTAGGTTCAACAGACAATGTTAAATATACATACATATATATCTATATATACCAGAAATGCACACACACATATGCACGCAAGCTAACAGAGGACAGAAGCTTTTAAGAGTTGTTCTTTTTGTTACTTTTCCCTCTCCAAAACGGAATGGGAAGATTAGAAGCCCACAGAGGAACTGCAGCAGCGTTTAGTAGATGGGTCCTTCCGAAGGATGAAAGTGGGGAGCAGCTATGGCTAAACATCTTCTGGCTTGCAGGAAAGCATTTTCACAGCACAGACATGGGAACTTGCTTAGCCCAAACAGAGGCTTTTTCCTGGCAGATTTTGATAGGTTAACGAAACCACATTTTGCTTCTCTTGAAAAACACCTGAGTTTAAAGAAACCAAACCATCAACCCTTCCTTTCTCCCCGAGAAGCCGAGGTCCCTGCTGACTGGTGATTCTGGAGCCGGCCAGGAAGACAAGGCAGAGGCAGGGCTCCAGCAGGACCAGGTGGGCGGCCCTCTTCACCTGCTTCAGAAGGCGTCTGAAGGGGGCCCTTAGAGAAGAATGAGTGGGGGACGTTGATGGGACACGATCCCATGGCAGCCACGGACCGAAAAGATGGAGAAAGGCT